AAGACAGTTTGTCAACCCAAACTTCTGCCTGAAAAAGTGAGTTCTCCCCATGCATGCCCTGTTAACCTCAATAATCTCTCGGCAGGCTCCTTTCTCCACTGTCAAGGTATTTGGTACATGGTTGAGAGTCCTCCATTATGGGAATAATTCTTTGCATGTCCTCTTGGTTTTCTTTGCTATATCTACATAAATGTAAACATAAAAGACACTCCTCTCAAGGAAAGCATAGGGTTTTCCATCATAAATGAGATGTCTACTCATTCATCAGCTTGCATGGCTGTCTTATTTCTCTTTAAGTTCCAACCTACACCCCTGATGCACAGGACGCAGTCTGACCACTGCTTGGGTATCTGGAGTCTTTTGTTTGCAGCTGTACTGTTTTGTTTACTGTGCCCAGTCTGTAAATTACCTCACATTTTTTTTGCCATGTTAGAATGTGGGGAAACTTGTAAAAATTAATTTTGGGCCGGGGATTTAGCTCGATGGTTTCGCCGCCTGCCTCGCAAGCACAAGGTCCCGAGTTTGATCTCTGGTACCAAAAAAAAAATTAATCTTTCCACATAGTAATTTTGTGTTTAAATATTTTTCAATATATTTTATTCTCAAACATGCTTTCATTGAGTTTTAGCAGTAATAACAATATAAATATCCTGGGAACACTCAAAATGTTTGCCCCTGGGCTGTGGGTTAAGAGTATCCAGGTGAAACCCTATTAGGCTCATCCTTGCCTTACCCATGAATAACAATTGTCATATTTATTTTGCTGTTTTTTTCTAAGTTTGCCATATATATTCTTAGTTTTGTCCCCTTGAAATGTTCAGTATGTAAGTATATAGAAAAGCATTGTAGGTGGTTTCTTTGTCTGTTTTCTGGACATTGGTTAGGGCCACTCATCTGCAGATCTTGGTGCACTCTAAAGTAGAGGATGTGTTTGTGGAGCATATCATTCGATCCTTCCTTTTTTCATAAGTCTACATGCTAGTTGCATCTTTCCACGGTTCCATTTCTTTTGGTTATTTCTTCAACCAAAGTCATGGATTTTGTTTATATTTGATGTTTTCTCTTGAATTATATATGTTTTGATCATTTTTCTTATGTGTTCACTGATTTTTACTCAGTACACACATTCTTTTTGTTGTATACAGTGCATATACATTTTTTTTTAACTTGTCTCTATTACCTCTCATAATTTACATAGGTATTACTTTCTCTCTCTAATTGTGAGGCTTCATGATTTTCTTCTGGGTAAGCAATTTTTTTCACATCCAAAAGATATTTGACTATGAATTCTCCAAGTATTCAAGTTTATCTTTCCCATTTCAAGGTGTAAATTAATTATTGTACATGAACTATAAAGAATAAAGTGCATATTTCAATGTATGTGCCTGTTTCTTCCTGCCTCTTGTATTAAACAAATAGTGATTTCTGCCACTTTGTACGGTAAGGGCTCTATCACGAATCAGTATTCTATTTCCATGTGAATCCATTGAAGATTATCTTCCTTTTCTGTGATCTGTCATTCTCATTAATAGAACAGTGCTTTAAATAGTGGATTTTTAATCTCTTTCCTGTATATTAAAGGAGCTGTCCTTTATTGTTTAGTAGTATTGAACATTGTCAAACATTTGTTAAACTGAACAATTGTAATTTTCTTCGAATATCAAAGGTGTGATTTGGAAGTGCCAAAATTTTTTCTTCCGTTTTTCCTTTTATTATTACTCCAAGTTTAGTTTGCAAAATATATTTTGATCATATCCATCCCTCCATTTTTCTCCCATATGCAAGTTTCAAAATGCTGTCTAAATATAATCAGAGAAGAAAGGGATCAATAATAAGTTAAGAAAATGATATATTCTATGATTTGTGAGAGCAGTTCATCAGATATTCTTCTACCTTAGTTTTGCACATGGATGCTGATATTTTGGCTCTATATAAACCATGCTTTAGAGATAGTGTTCAAATAAACCTAAGGTTAACTGGCAGAAGAACCAGTGTTCCCATTCTGCTGTTGCTTTAGCAATGAATTCTAATCTGGCATCAAAATTCCTATAGGAGATATGGCTATGAATGGAGAATAAGTGTCTGATGACCAAAGCATAAAGTAAATATTTGGAGAACTCAGCCTCATTTCAGTCTTTTAAAATAGAGTTGAAACATTTCATGTGAACCTCATTCTTCTTCTTGGATATCTATGTCTGATGATTTAGGAGGCAGTATCCTTTGAGGATGTGGCTGTGAACTTCACCGTGGAGGAGTGGGCTTTGCTGGATCCATTCCAAAAGAAGCTTTACAGAGATGTGATGTGTGAAACCTTTAGAAATGTGGCTGCCCTAGGTAAGGAAAATACCCATTTCTCATTTATGCAATCAGAGAGCACTGGTTATTGCTTATTGGTACAGTTTACTTTATTGGAATATGGAAACACTTGATGCTTCCAGGTATGGTCACATTATACTATGAATCTTACTGGAGTCTCTGAATTTTTATGTAATTTAGTAACTCATCATTACATTTCTCTTTCTATACTTTAGGAAGAACCTGGGATAATGAGGAAATTGAAGATGAGTACAAAAATTGCAGGAGAAGTCTAAGGTAACTTGCATTCACAATAAGGAATGTTCCTTAAGAATCAAAAATAGAAAACCAAGCAAACTATACAAATGAAGCCATGTTCTAATTTCTTTAATCACAATATTTCTCCAAAGATGCATACTTGATGAGTATCTATAATCTGATAATTGAATATTTGAAATATTACAGTATCTGAAATGTAAGCAGTACTGACATTATGTCACAAGTGACATTATCTAATGTAAAAGAAAAACAAATTATTTCCCATTCTCAAGATTATAAAACTTTTGTATGAAATTGCATTTAGGCATTGACTATAGGAGTATATAAAACAAATTTTTTTGTTTATACTGAGAGCCAAATTATATACACTTGTATTTTCAAAAGACCACATTCACCCAGGCGTAGTGGCACATACTTGTAATCCCAGCACTTGGGAGGCTGAGGCAGGAGGATTTTTGTAAGTTTGAGGCTAGCCTGGGCTACATAGTGAGTTCAAGGACAGCTTGAACTACACAACAAGACCCTATCTCAAACAAAAAACAAAAGACCACATTCATGTCCAACATTATGTAAGGAATGCTGTATGTATTTAAATGCGGTATATATATTTTGTTCTTGCAAAATTGCTATCCTTGTGAACATATTGAAAATCCAAATGAATGCCACTGTTTTCATATTGTTTTCAAGCAGTCCTCCAAAGGATTCAGTCCATTCATGTTGCAAAATATTAGAAGGCACTATTCCGTAATGTTCATTGAAATGTCATTGTAGTATAACATTTATGGGAATGTATATAGAGATTTCTTTAAAAAGTAAAAATAGTAATTCTAGTTATCCAGCTATACTTTTACTGGGCATATTCCACCCTAAGCAACCATATTACAGTAGTGCATGCATACTCTTTTATTTGTAGCAGCACAGCTTGCAAAAGTTAGATTCGAGAAACAGCCTAGATGCCTATTCATGGAAATACGGGATTGAAGGGAATATGAAGTAGCCTAGGAATGATGGTGCATGTGTGGAATCCTACCACATGGGAAGCAGAAAGAGCATACATAAATGTTTAGCTTGGGCAGCTTAATGATTAATGAGACTATTTTAAAATACAAAATAAATAAGGCCAGGTATGTAGCTCAGTACTAAGAGCCTGGGGTAAATCTGCATCACTGAAAAAATTCTGGTGTGTATACTTAAAGAATGAAATGATGTCAATTGCCAAAAAATGAATGGGTCTTGAGTCACTAAAAGTTAAGTTATGTAATTCAGACACAGAAATTTCAATATCATGTTATATTTAATACAGGAAATTCAAAATATGAATTAAGGAGCAAAAGGATATATGGTAGAAAAGAGAGAGGTAGTCATTTTGGAGAGGATAAAGATGCCCAGGGGAAGAGGGAGTGGATAGAGTCATGGGAGAAAGGGTATGAAAAATAATGAAAATATAATATACATATGTACCAGTTCCCCCCCAAAAGTGTTATATATTGCAAAGCTGTTTCAAACCCATCATCCAGAAAGTACAGTAAACTCATGATGAGATATTCTTAGGGGCATCAAACCAGATCTCCTCCTAGTAAATCATTAATAAAAAGACACTTTTAAATGTGATTCTTTTTTTCTTATTTTATTCCTTTATAGCAGTGGAGAGGTACAAAAATGCTGTGAATATGAATTATGGTATCAACATGGAAAAATGGTTTTCTGGACAACAGATACTAATATGAACCTGATTCCAGTTGGTACAAAACCAGGTGAAAGCCCTGGCTCTACAAAGCCTCCAATTGATCATTCATCAGCAAATGTGCCCATCATAGCTAACCCTGGATTCAAATCATGTAAGTACTGGGAATTTGAAGAGAAGCTCTCTAGCTGTAACAAACACGTGAGAAGCTGCACTGACTTCCAGTCCTCTCAGAAGCATGTAAATGCAAATCCTGGAGAGAAACCCTATGAATATAAACAGCATGGAAAATTGTACTCTGATTGCACTGAAGGAGCTAACACTGAAGAGAAGCCCTTTGTATATGACCAAAATGTGAAAGCCCTCAGTACACCCAACTATGTTCCAATCTGCGAAAGAAATCACAGTGGAATGAATAATACCTACATATGTACAGAATGTGGGAAAGCTTTTACTTCTCATCATTTTATGCAGATACATGAAAGAGCTCACATTGGCAAAAACCCCTCTGTATGTAAACACTGTGGGAAATCCTTCACTAATACCACTTCGTTTGATAATCATCAAAGAACTCACAATGGGGAGAGACCCTATGTATGTAAGCAATGTGGGAAAGCTTTCAGGACACACAGTGATTGTCAAAGACATGAACGAACTCATACTGGGGAGAAACCCTATGTGTGTAAGCAATGTGGGAAAGCTTTTAGCACACGCAGTAATTGTCAAATACATGAAAGAATTCACACTGGGGAGAAACCCTATGTATGTAAGCAATGTGGGAAAGCTTTCAGCAAGCGTGATTATTGTCAAATACATGAAAGAATTCACACTGGGGAGAAACCCTATGTATGTAAGCAATGTGGGAAGGCATTCAGCAGACACAGTAATTGTCAAATACATGAAAGAACTCATATTGGGGAGAAACCCTTTGAATGTAAGCAATGTGGGAAAGCTTTCAGGACACACAGTGATTGTCAAAGACATGAGAGTACTCACACTGGGGAGAAACCCTATGAATGTAAGC